GAACTGATCGGATACTAGCGCAAGAATATTCTTATAAGTATGAAACATCTGAAGTACGGGAAAAATAGAAGAAACATAATATAGGCTCACCGATTATGTAGCCTTTATTGTCTTTAAGTAGTCTATAGTGAACAACAATGAACGTCAATCAGGTAAAATTCACAAGGACAAAGTTCAGAGAAATTTTCGTCTTACAGTTCACAAAAGCAAATTTTGAAGGCCCATATTCCGTTGACCTACCACACCACAATATCACGGTTCTATCATCATTCATGCTCAGTTTGACTGGCATATAATCGACCACGGCAAGGCTGGTGTTTTTTATGCTAAAACCAGAAACATCTTTCTGTGGAATATTGTCAAGTCAGCTGTTTTTGTGGTTCAATGTTCTGTAACATTTCAGGACGTTCCGTTGGATTTTACGTTACAGAATGGATGCTGGAGTCCTTCCCCGGTCGTGAGTGTAGTTCCTTTTGTAAACTTGAACCAAACTGCGGGTGAGAAGGGGCATATGTTGTTGATTCCTTCCTTATATCCTTATTTCGTACATCGGGATTCCCCATTTCTGTTATTTCGGTTTTACGCCTATACCACCCTCTTGTTTTTGACTTGAACATAAACCGTTTTTGACCTTGTCATCACACGTGTTATTTGAGCAAACACGTGGTTTCGTTGACCTGTAAACGCGTAACCTTGAGCCGATGTGAACTTTGGGATCGACCAGGAGTTGGCAGTTCCTAAATGGGTGTATGGAAGCCGGTTTAATCCCACGATTTGAGGATTGGATTGCGTTTAGTATTCCACTGTTGTATTCGTCGTACCGCATTTGTTGATAAACCTCCATTTGGACGATTTGGCATTTGACGTTTTGCGTGTAACTCAACGTGGTTCACGAGATTACTGGGAACTATCTGCACGTATTTTAGCCGCCAACACAGTTTATCAACTGCGGAACAGGAACAGAATTCGTTGGGAGTGCTCTCATTATTGGTCTGTTATGCGTTCATGGTGTACATATGTGAACAAGCGCGTTGAAACTGGAACGCTAATGAGAAATGTCGTCGGTATGTGGGTAATTTTCTGCGCAATCACCCTTTTTATGTTTAGTTTTACCAATCATTCCTTTGTGTGGTTTGCCTTTAGGGTTGCGTTTTATTCGTCAGTTTTATCATTTAAAATTCTCAAGATCTGCGAATGTTTGACTGCCAAGGGTACGATGCCAACCGCCATTTCATTGCTCCACAGAAGCACGTGGTTTGTTATGGTGTTTTATGTCGCTAATGCAAATCCATGACTACGTTCAGAAAAACTGTGGGACTGACTCAGCCTGCATTGATGTTGGTGTCCTTTGCGGCAAACTACCCCGCTTGGCTAACCCTACTTGTGACTTGCAGGATATCCGAAAGCCCTGCATCCATTTGGAGCAACGGCTGTAGCTTTTAGCGATAATGGGAGTTTGAATGTTTTGTCGCCTGCGCGGTCTGTTTGCGAAGTACGGTGATGCTGTTTAGGCACACTCAATGCTTGCCACTTGTGACGTATACAAATCACTGATTGCAGTGGCGTCGGTTTTACTGTGTTTTACTCCTTTATCCATAATGAGTCCCGAGAGCGTTATGGTAAGCCGTTTAAAATCTTGTCCAGAGAATGTTACCTGTGGATGTCGTCAGAAAGATGGTGGTTAATGAGAATAAGTCACAGTTGTGTAGACTTAAGGCAGTGATGTCTAGTGCACTTGTTATTTTCTGTTCACTGCATGTTACAAAGTTTGAAATCCGGGATTATTAAGCCTATAGAAATGACCCATTCGGATAAAGATGTTTTGTTTACCTAGTTCAAGCAAATGAAGCTCTTTAGGGAAGTCTAAGAGTTTGAGATCTATGCCAACAACATCAGAAGCCGCAACTAGGAATACTGTCCATTTCTAAGTGGGCGTTGTTTGGCTGACGCCGTACGCCAAGGCATCGGTTTTTACGCAATTACATCATGCGTTAAATTGCTGCACTCCTCAGATTCGTACCCTATTTTTTGGGCCGGTATTAAGCTTCAGTTTGGACAACTCGTAAAATGCTCGCGTTTTTTATGAGCTCAAGGTTACTGTCATATAACCATATGGTCTTTGCTGCTGAGTATCATTCAGACATTTCTTCCTTTGGTTGAATCCAGGAGGTGGCCGTTTCCACTGAACGATGTTCAACTATCACCTGCCGCCGCCGAGAACGCATTATCAGTAGAGGCTGCTCCCGAAAGAAGTCATCTAAACCATGTGTTTCATCCATATCCCTGATGGCCTGTGATAACGCTATGTCCTCGCACCTGTGACATGCGACGCTCAACCAGGCACTTCCAACACTATTGCACACAGGCGCCCGAAAGAATCCTCTTCCAAGTTACGAGGATAGGATGGCTAGGCAAGACGGGAATTTCGATTTGCATGACGACAATTATTGCTTACAGTGTACAAAGTTGCGTGATCACAAGGTACGAACCGACGCGAAGTACACCACCGTGGCAGTTCACCATGAGGAGGAGCCATTGCTGTCACATTGACGCTGGTAACCGCTGTGCCTGTGATTCATCTGTGGCGCATTGGAGACATCCTTGCGCGGTTGGTAAAAATGTAGCAAGCATGCAATAGAAGTAATTAAATGTGGTGATTCTCGGAAGCTAGCGGCATACGGCAATCTATGGGTATAAGTGTGGCGTTTTTGTACCTTTATTTTACTTCAATTATAACACTAGGTATTTCATCAATTGCATAATCGTTTTTTGTTTGAATACGAGAAACTACAAAAAACGCGCCCTTGTACAATTTCACATAATACAAGCGTGGTCACGTGCTTCGACTCTCTCTTCTGATTTCGCTCGCGCTTGCAGCGGTCATTCGCGAGTCTCATATACTAACTCTGGTACCCAAAACATTTCAGACTATCTTCGGAATCTATTATATGTGGAAACTGTTCAGAAGAAGACCTCTGGACCAACACTATTGGATTATTGTTTATTCGCTGACCTGGGCCAACGACGAACTATTTTAAAGAGAACAATTGTTAGTGAGTCTGTTCCATCTGACCTATTTATTTTTGTATACCCAACTTAGCGTAATTATTTTTATTACTTTGCCACACACTCCTGGTAAACTGACTTATTGGGTAGCCAGACAACTACATAAGAACGGGAAAGAAAGATTACCAGCCAAAACCGGATAAGCAAGGTTACACATCAACAATCGCTCTAAATAAACAAAAATGGTAGGCAATGTCCACTACATATATAAACAATCGCTTCTCATTCTTTTGCGGACACAAATGAATGGTAAATCTCCTTTTATGCTCACACAAAACTTTTGTTAGGGGGTTTAGTTTCGGGGATAAAAAGTGAGTGAGATTATCTTGCATAACACTAGGTAATATCGTTGACCCGTATGCTGCGAGGGATTCCCCGGTAGTTTCAGGGTTATTGCAGTCAATCACAGTACGTAATAATACATTTTCCTGTACCCGATGAACACAAATTACATATTGAGAGGCGCTCGAATTGTGAGTTTCGGGTCGCACAACTAATCACACGCATGTAAATGCTGTCTATCATCCAAGTAACAGTTTAGTTACCATTGATCGTGGCCGGGTGAAGAGATTTGAAACGAGAGAATTTACCGCCAACTTTGAGACATTTAAACTCTGACCCTTTTTATTGGCGAGGTCGCACACACAAATCGCCGTCTGTTTGAGAAAAGTTGTATTAACGACCAACATTAAAGGCGATATGTATCGAATATGGGCTATGTAAAACTGATGATGATAGGATATTATTTCAAATAACATTTGAAAATTAGTTCAAAATGTAAATTCTAGTCGCGTGCAATGCCAATAACATTCTATGTTTCGTTCCAAACGGTCGATCAAAAGCCTTCCTTCAGTTATGCTCTTAATTTTGAATGCTTCCGCCATTTAGATTTCAGTCCAACAGCAGTCACTAAACAAAAAGGTGCAAATTATCCTCCAAGCCCAAGAAAATATATTTGGGCATTTCATTAAAACAATTTTCGCGGTAATGTGATCGGTATTGACAAAAAAAGACGCCTAGCGGCAAAAATAGCAGTTTACAAAGGCCTCATTGTCCATAAATGCAAGCACGTTCTTCACGCAACAGCGATTCGGATGGATCCGCGTTGCGCCGTTGATATCAAGCCGTTGACGGTGATATGATTTAATATAGCCCGTTTCAGAGTGCATTGCATCATGTTGCACGGTGTGCTAGCGATGCTGACAGACCTGCAACTTCTGGGCGATAAGCGGCCGCCGAATTCAGAGCTTAGCGTGACAGTAGTTTCCTTCTAACTGACTTCTAAATACATGGTCGAAATGTTTTGCTAATGTAGGCAACATTTTATTCACGGTCCTTAGATGATTTCCATCCGGACCCGGCGCGTTAAATGAGTTTGTAGCGTGCAAGAGCTGATGAGCGTTTTACTATCAGAAAACTAAGTTTTTAGAGGCAGTTTACAGGGACTTGCTGCAAATATTGTATTCGATGAGGCCCCTGGGCCAAATGCGGGGGCGCTTAGCATTCATCTTAGGCCGAAGATACCACTAGTGCGTTACTCATGTTTTTCGCGTTATTATCTCTCAAACAGAGGATGGTTGGCTTATTTCTTTGGCGTTATATTGGACTCATGTGGTAAATTTTTGCAAACGGGGCGAGGTCAGGTATCGTTATCTTTTCCGTACGTTCCATTGGTGGATTCCCGGGTTACAACGATTCCGTACCTCAACAAATGTCAGGCCATCTGCCACCTCTCAGGATAATTTTCAACGAACAATGGGAACCATGTTTCCAGAAGGCGCGAAATCTTCTTGGATAAATTTTTGTCATCTTGGCTGCTCGCTGGTTTCCTTCAGAGAATTACTCATCAGCCCCGTTTATTTTCTATACAACAGTTTTGTATGTTTCATCCACTGGAGCCGGTCTCAGCTTAAGCTGTCTAGGAACGTGCGCACTTCCGAGGATTCCTCGCAGCAGAAATTGTCAGTTCGTCCGGAATCAGCGTGGCTAAATTGGCGTACGCAAGATTTTCAGATTCTGCGCTGCCGGATTGTTGGCGTTGTCCGTAGGGATCATGAGGTGCGGCTGTATCCACAATCACACTGGCCAGCTTTGACACAGCGGAGTCAGAGACTGGCAGGCTTTCATTCGCAACAGAATCTCCCGTGATTGTCTCTACTTTAGCCGCTTCAGGAGGTGCAAGTGTCAACGGTAACTTCTTCCATGTTGAATGGCTACTGGTTGCGGGGCTGCCACAGCGATTTTCGGCGCAGAAGGAAACGCATGGGCCTGATCCGTCAGTAAGTTCCGATGCCTGATATCGCACAGGTGACCCAACGTAGCTTAGTCCTCGTGGCTCAAGTGCGGTATTCAGCGCTGCGCTTTCATTGTTCCAAACCTTAGGTTCTATGACCTCATTAAGCTTACCTTAATCAAAATAATAATTTTCCCGGAGTCAGCCGTTCTTTCACTGTTGAGTAGAAGCCGCATTCATTAGTCGCGGTTGAGCTAATCAATAGGTTTCGTGGGAGCAAAAGAACCCACAACTACCACCGAAGTGATCTTAGTTTTCGGAGCGGCTGATTTGTGGCCAAAGCTAAGATTGCTAAGTGCTTCGCTTCTAGAACCAACCCAAATCATTCTTCGCGCATTCACGGAGATGATCCTCAGAAATATGCGTCGACAGGGCTTTTTGTTACTGACAGGCCGCTCTAATGCCCACTATGCAGCATTTCGTGGGAAGTGCGTATTTGGAAGCCCCAAGGGTAACCTGCTCCTCATTCTACTTGACCACTCTGCGCAAGCTGGCGTGCATTCGGTTTAATGCAACACCACGCCGAACAGCGGCTGTGTCAGCTCCCTTGTGCTTGTTATGGAAAACGACCCCAAATCATCCTCATGGACTGCCTAATACACATGTTCACTAAAAATGTCATAACGGTTCTGAATGCCGTATCAGGGAACTGCATCGCTTTCTCAAATAACAGCCTCGAATAATGATCACGAAGTGTTTTCTGAAGGGTAATTCGCTTGTCAAATTTTCTCGAAACGGCTGCATTCTTTAAGCTTCGATAGTAATACCGGTTTTGCCTTGAGCGTCAAGATTTAATTGTACCACCAAACTACAATTAGGGGTTTGTTTCCACCGTTAACTGATGACTTGTTTATTTTGGGATGCATAGCACCTCTAAGGCATGGGCAGCTAGCACAGATGAGAGTAGAGCTGGATATTGGGCCAATTTGGTAACCCTACCAACCCCAGCAAATAAAAGGTTACAAGGCCTACCAGGTGCAACACCACACTCTACGGTTCATATTCAATGAACATACATTCCGCGCCATTCGTTGCACTCCATGGTAGTTGCAGCGGAGGAAGCCTGTCACAATCTGCCTCACGTTTGCCAATAAGTGAGTACACCGCAGAAATGGAGGATAACGTAACAGAGATCTTCATGTACAGGTTATGTTAAATTAGGAATTGTAATCAAATGACAGGTGTTAGCACTATAAAAAGATTGAAAAGCGAGATAATCCGCGCTCATATCTGTAAAAGCGAAAAATGAAAATAATTTCGAAAGTATCACCCTTCATTAGATGGGGTAAATAGGCTCTGTTCTTCAGAATTTGTCGGTGTACGATTACTAATATTGTTTATTCCCAATTATCGCCTGAGCGAACCGTGGAATCAGATCACTTGTGATCTGCAAAGTTCTCGATTCTACGGTGCGGGAAAATTTGCATTCCGCACGAGCATTCGATCCAAATGAGGGCAGCGAAATTTAGAAACATGCACTGAGTATTGTGAGTGCCATAATGCAGTCCATCACAGTGCTATGAATTTGAAATTCCTTGCCACGACAGAAAAAAAACACCGCGCTCGCCCTTTCTGTTTTAAGTTGCGAATTATAGCTTTCATTGCCAATCGCTTCCAGTGATGGACCAAAAAATTCCTTGCTACAACTGCTTCATCAGGTAGGACTCTTTGAAGGTCTATCCGACTGACACCCATGCTAGTTCTATGGACTCCCGCAAAACTGAACCAGAGAACGCTGCCAATACTCCCGCCGCCATGGGCGCGAGGTTCGTGTGTTGTATCAAACACCATCAGCCAGCTACCCATATTGTTTACCGCACAGGTCATTATCATGCGCCGGAGGTTCAATTATCGCCCCACAACCTGGTCATCCTGCTGATGATCGGAACTTATGAGGTCTTTCTTGTGATATACTACACCATCCGTGTTAGATTAGTGTCTCCTGTTTACTGGCCGCATCATTATCCTGGAGGGCTCCCGACAAAAAAATTTGGTCTAGGTTCATTCGGGAAACCGGGAAATCGGTCGAACGCAATTACTTGTTCTCAGCTACGTTTGGTAACCCGGTACAAATTGACGCCGGAAAATTTGTATCACATTGCTGTCTTCTTCGTATCTACATGGAATTTACCCAGTCAGCATTTTGACCCCTGATTTAGACCAGAGAAGTCCTGATGCTATTTAAACGGCAACTTTTATGGATCGATCCACAGACTGAAATTCTGCTTGTGTCTATGACTCGAAGCGATCGCCAAGTCAAAAACACCTACTACTTATGCTTGGCTTTGGCACCTCAGAGGAAACCCGGTCACAGAATTTCCGTCAGTTCATGTCGCAGCAATATAAATGTGAAATTAATGTGAAATATAAATGTGAAATTACCACGGTTTCTTCATCAACCCAATGTTTTGTACTTGAGTTCAAAGGTGCCATGCAAAATGTTTGGAGAATGGATCAGAAGCAGAAATTGGGAAGCTAGTTCATCTGAATCGTTGAGTTATAGTCAGTTGGTTGTGCCAAGATGGTCGCTGTTCCGTAGAGGGTGCGGCGAGCAAGCGACCGAGGTCAGTGCATGAGGCCATTCATCTATCAACTGAATTTTACTGCCGACTACAGCGATAAAACCGAAACTCTAGCCCGGCATCTTGAGATAATATGCTGTCATCACAAGCGGATCGTTGAACCTCTACCGATAATTGTTGGTCACTTGGTCTGCACGGTCAAGGTGGACATTTTATCAAGGAAATGACATTTGTCGGTGGAGAATTACATGCTGTTTAATCCTAACGACTGTGAAATTTTTGGCTTTGAGGTACACATAGAAACTTTCATGCATAAGCGCCCCTAACTACAGCGACCACTTTATTAATACCGAATGTGCTTGAACCAGGGATGACGCCAACACGCTGTATTGGTTCATTAGAAAATAAGGTTATCCTGCTTCAATTTGACTGACGGCGGTAGTCCTACAAGATGGGAGGAATGGGGAGAGTCAGACTCCTGTATTTAGGCACAGAAAATCAGGAGAATGAAGAGATGAACCAAGTTAATTTATGAGATCCCGTGCCAGAGCTTTGTGGGCATTGTCTTGATTGGTCGTTTGAGCGGCAAATCGGAAGAAAGTGGCCTGTTCCCGGCCTTTAGCTCGTCCCAGATTCTTACAGCCAGCCAAGTACTCGCAGAGTTGAAAGGAAAATGACCCATACAAACCAGAAATTTCGCGTTAATAGTTCGTTTCTCAGACAAAGTTGTTTACCTATTGGTTGGTGTGCCCTATATTTCTGTCAGGCAATGAGAAACAACCAGCCACAGTTGTCGCTACAGTATAAAAATCGTTCAGGTGCAACACCCGTTCGGTGCCCAGCTGCCATGCTATTCTTGACGAAAGTAGTAAATAATAGTCCAGCTGTAATGCCTTTTCAGTGCCTAGCTGCTATACTAACTGAAGGAAGCGCGATGGCTGGGGTACTGCCCGGTTGCTTAAGCGTAAACAGGAGTAGCCGAGATGCAGAAGTTGTGTTCAAGCCACGGACCTCCCGCTCAGTGAATTTGCGATCTAACCGCAGTCATCTTGCCCCCTATGTTGCCGAGATCCAATGTTCATTTGGTCAACTTCAGTGACTTTGACAGACAGCTCTAGAAACCGGAAGGATAACTTATTCCACTCTCATTCATTCTCCAACCAATCTGTTTCAGGTGGCTCCCCACCCAAATCAGCCGGGTATTCTTGAGCCAACCAAATTTGATGAACGGATTCGCCCTGCTCCGAGTTTTATTTATAGGCGATCATATGGTCTGTGACTGACTTGCGATTATTGGTGAGCTGAAAGTTAATAATGGCCAGAAACAGACACTGTTAACCTCACAACTGAGGTAACCGCTCGAAGTGGCCGAATCACGAGCTCTCATTCTCCAGTACTCCTCTTTTGTGTGAGGTGATCGCTCGAGTTATACGTTAGAATGACAGAGATATGACTTACCGTGTCTGCACCACAGCCCTGGGACCGCGTGCGACTCCAACGATCCATTGCATCAAAATCACCGGATAGCGTAAAAGTGAAGTGTGGCATATCCGAGTCCATCATAAGCGGTTTGTGGTGCACGACCGATTCGAGGTCTTGTATGCATGTTTTGGAGATAACACACATCCACAGATGGATAGATTAAAGTTTCAATAAGACGTGTGCGTTGCGGAACTTAACAAAGTGTGCGACATTGAAATGTTGTTACGTTTATTCTGATTTAATTCGCTTTACAAGGGGTGGCATTTACGAGGCTGACTGATTTATTGGGGTCTGATGCACACGACTCTCCGGTCTTCCGGATTATGCGCTGAAAAACGCGCAAACGTTTGTTTCTTGGAAACATTCACTACCGTGGTAGTAGGCCGGCACTCATCCGGTGGCTTGCGGCCAGGAGTTTAGCTAAAGACTCGTCGGCCGTCAAAAACTCCCTCTTACCCAGCTAAAAGCTGCCGTGCCACACCAGCCGTCTCCTGGTGTGATCAGCCCTGCTTGCTACAAGCGCCAGGGCGGGTAAGCAAAAACCGGCATCTCGATGTGATGACAGGGCTTGCGAGCTACAATGGTCCAGCGGGATACATTGGCTATATTTTGGTTCCATAAAGCTCACCTATGTCAAGAAGGCCAAATGGGACAGTCAGACAGAGTTCATGGAAACTCCGTACTAGGAATAGTATTACGAGGCGGCCTTTGTGGGACGGCGTACTGGTGCCTGCGTTGGGAGTGTGACGATTGTAAGTTGTTTCTCTTAGGCGACCAGCATATCCATATTCATGTAAGCTGTGATATTGCCGCATACTCCTGTCGCCCAACTGCCTACTATAGCCACCGGCGAGCTATGCAATGCAGTCGGAGACGGAACCTTGCCTCGAGTTCATTATGGCTCCAAACGTATCTGATATGTGCGGCAGAATTAGGAGTGGTACATCTATGCATTGTTCCCTGCGCCATCGGTTTAGGTTTCCTTCGCCGCAGCCGAATAGGTCAGACGATCAAGTCGTCGGCTCCGGGCAGCATCTTCCAAGAAAGCCCTACTTCCCACTGCGTCGTGGATTGGACTTTTGAGTCAGAGGCTAGAAGCCGAGTTCCCCACCTGATGCCTTATAGTTCAAACTTTTGAGTAAAAGGTTCAAGTTGCGATATCTCAAATTAATCCTCTTCCTTAGTCTGGGCAACCGAAAGTTATCCTTTGCCTGCCTAGTTTATCATCCATCTTACGGGCAAACGCTGCTGGATCATTTGGTTGATAGTTATCTAACCGATGTGCATTATACCTTCCACTGCCTGTTAACAACAAACAAATAATACGCTGCCAAACCCATGAGATCCCTTCTACCCTCCGTATCATGAAATTGCTAAACAGGCAATGCTTACTCACACACCCCCTTAAAATAATGTTTACTGCCTCTGAAACAACCCTACAAGACTCAAGCTTGACTATATATCTTAAAGACAAACTCAGCTGTTTCACGCTTCAGTCCGTGTTTCCACTTGATCCAAAAGAAACGGTTCGTGAAACATGTGGCGTGGGGTTGCACTCAGCCGCAGAGCTAAACACGCTTTGGCGGATTAAATTACAGTGAGCAGTCGTCTTTGCACCGTCTTGGTTATCCAGCTCAGTCAAGTTCAATGCTGCCTAACAAAAAACCGGTGCTTGTTTGTAACATCGGCTTATTCCCCAAGGAATTATACTGTGACGCCGAGAGGTATAATTTCTATTGGGTTTTATCCGGGTTTATACGTCAAACAAGAAGCAATGACATTGTCATCCTTGTGGGCGGTATAAATGTCCAAGTTAGTCGTCTCAGCTTGGAATCAAATCTAGGCGGTCGATTCGGAGTCGATGCTCATTGCAGACAACGGAAAGCGGGTTTTTCAGTTTTATCCTGATCATCAACCGTTTCTGGTCAGTGCACACTTTCAACGTGAAAGTTCGCGTCGTAAATTGACGTTGGACCCGACTGAATCACATGGCCATCAACCACCGGTTGGGAGCTACAAATCAAGACTACCGCCGCTAGATTCCGATCACGTAATGATGCGAGCGTCTGACTATTAGCTTTCCTTCAAGCCTTCGCAAGTCAGCAAGAAGCATGCCGCCCTCTTCCATTTTCGGAGAGTGACAACAGCTCAAGTGTATCCATCTTGGCTCACTCAAGTGCTCTCTGCGGTAAACCAACACAATACTCGTAACAAATACGTGGATGAGGCAAGGCAACATGGAAGAGGACATATGCTAGAGGAGTTCAAAGGCTTCCGCTCGACTTCTCTAGTATGGTCGACGGATCACTGGATATCATTGAGGTCGTTAGTCTTGATTTATTCTAAGGAATCCATACTAGTAGGCAACGAATACGACAGTGCGCAAAAATCCTTCAAACGCCATNGGGAAAGACGAACTCTGGTGGACAACAAAAGCTGAAGAGATTGAGAGTTTTTACCACCGAGGCGAGATGGCCCAGTGGTATGGCAGCTAAGCACCGGAAGAGTGCTATCGCTGAACGATTTTTTGGCTTACCACCGGAAGCAGCGGTGCCGTATAACGATTGGCTAAAAGAAAACGATGTGAAAAATGGTACCTCAGCAATTCGCTGACAAAAGCATCCACTAGAAAGATAGATCGAATAGTCTTAAAAGCCTCGCATGTGTGCAAATAGAATGTGAACCTTCGCCACCCGTCAGAAGGAGAAGTGAAGCATGAAATATCCCTATAGACCGTGAGAAGCCATAAGGACTGCGATTTGTATCAAGCTTTAATCAGAAAAGGTGAATAATCCCTGAGTATCCATCTGGCAGTGCTATGTGAAGAAAAAATGAGGTGCATACAGAATGGGTCACATAGAAAGTCATTCCTGTCTTCACAAAGGGTACTCAGGCTCTGTGTGAAAACAACCGTGGCATCCAAGTTGCACTTTGGTCTCTTTGAAGGTTGACTGAACACACGGAAAAGCAGATCCGTGAAAATCAAGCTGACTCCCTTCCTGCAATACGATAGACGTACGTACCCTGCGACAGATTCTGGAACAGCGAGACTGCTTCCAACGGACAACAGTGGTAGTCTTCCCTGACTTGAAGTCCGCCATGGACTCTGAAGGCTGTCAGGCACTATGGCAGCGTCCAGGTGGCAGAGGTGCCCCCATGAATTCCTCCCTAAAGCACTGTACGCCAACTTTCGTGTGATAATGAAGATAGGCTGTCAAACAGGTTTGTTGCCCCAACTGGTGTCAAACACGACTATCCTCTTCAACTTCCACATCATGGAAGAATCACTCCGGTCTGTGACAGTTGTGGAGTCAAAATGCTTCCAGGGCATTTACTGACATAAATCGTCTGCGCAAACGACTTACCCGTCGCAATGTAGGCGGTGTTAAACAGCCTAACTAACTCTCTTTTACTAGTGAGATATACTCATTTGAATACCAATTTGTTTTTGACGGGAGACTCACCTGGAACCCAACTGAGTCTCTTATGTTTTTGAGCTGTACCCCGACCTAAAGCTGCCGCCTTGGCGTGGTGGTCGGGCTTCAGTGCTGCAATGATCCCGCGGGCTACACTATGTTGGGGATATCAATATCCGCTCCCAAAAACTCTGTATTTTTGTGTGCTAGCGAACTTCCGGCATCTTCAAGGTCAAACTATGAATATATATATATATATATATGCCTTGTCATTTCCTTTGATTCGCCTGTTGATCGCGTGTTGTTTGGA